GGTAAGCCTGGATGGATTCCAAAATGCTTCTCTGTACTTAGGTCTGCAGAAAGCAGCAGCTGAAATTCTTTACATGCAGGTACCAAACGAATGGCAACCAGCAGCACCTGTTAATAGACGTAAATGTACAGTCTGTGAAAATGTTTCCTGGCGTAGTTCATTGCAGTGACTGGGCCTTGGTGAGGGGCTGAGCGAGGGGCAGGTGCTTGTGCATTTGCAAACTCGTAGCAAATTGCCCACTCAACCGCAAGGGTGCGTGGAACAGGCACAGGCAGCGACGTCGATAAAGGACTTAGAAGCTGAAACACTACACAGGAAATAAATGCTACTACTCAGTGCCCCTGCCTGCTTCACATTTAGTCCTTACTCTTTCAAAGCTTGTTTCATCCCAAAGAACTGCACAGCGTCCCCTATACTCCAAAAAATCCCACTACCCCCACGTGCCGATCAGTCTGAGCTGAGGAGCAGGCAGAGGCGCCTCTCCCAGCACACGGGGCTTTTGCGAGGAGGAAGCAGAAGATCAGCCATGAGCCTCGAGGCTGGTTCCAGTGGCTTCGCTTTCACAGGCAGCTGTGAGGGCTGGGCTCAGCACGAGCTTTTTGTCTGCCCCAACGCACATCTTTGAATTTCAGGAGTTTATTCACAATGTGAGTTTGTTTTATAGCCTTGATTAAGGCAACAAAATATGCAAAGAAGAGCCTTATTGGCACATTTAAAACCTGAGATTGTTTAAAGTCATCTTGTCAACATCCTGTCATTAGCGACCCGGCTCTCTGTGCATTACACTAGTGACACCGGTGCCTGTGACGTTCTCGTAGTGGAGTGATCTCTGTTTGATGCTCTGTGGTACTTTTCATCCCAGACTGTTTCAAAGCACTTTAAAAACCATGGCCTATCCGGTGTCATCACTCATGCTGTGTGGCTCTTCTGTAACAGCAGGCAACAGCACTGCACAGTAATTAGTGGGAAAAAAAGATAAATTGAATGTGGATTTCCATTAGCATTGGCTTTTATATCTATCTGATAGATTCATTTCTATTCCTAGAGTGTCTGTCAGTGCAGGGGTGAAATACTGCTTGAATTTTCATGGTTGTGAGGGCAACGTGAGTGTTCAGAGACTGACTCAATACTTTTTTGGTCGAAATTTGGACAGATGATAATGGTCAACATCTCTGCTGCTGTGAAGATTGCTTTGGTGCGGTTGGTAGGTGCGATGGTCAGGACACCGCTTTTCCAGATCATTTGGGAGGTGGTGCACTCCAAGGCTTTCTTGGACAGCCTTGAGCCATTGGTTCAGCACTGGGACATGCAATGAGTCTCCCCCATCGTGACATCTCGTTGGATATCTTCCATCTGGGGACTGGCTGATCCTGTTGAGCTTATTTGAGTTGACAGAGCCACAGCCAAGGCAATTGGCGCCCACGCAGTCACTTGAATCACGTCCTGCCCAGCTCTGTCAGCCCTCATGTCCTTCATTTCACATGTTTGTTGGACTGTCAGTCTCTTTCCCACCCTCCCATCCTCCCTTTCCAACACTGCACAGATGTTTGTGGTCACAGTCGGCTCATGCATAATCCATTTGTTGTTGCCGTAGGTGGTTGAATCTTATTGGGAAGGAATGCGCAAGCCAGACCCTCGTATCTACAAGCTGTGCTTGGACCGCTTGGGTGTTCAGGCCCGGGAATCCATCTTCCTCGACAACAGCAGCCAGAACCTAAAAGCAGCAGCCCAGCTTGGCATGAAAACAGTGAAGGTACAGAGCAATGCCACCAGGGCGGGCTTTGGGTATGGTTTTTAAGTCCAGAAGCAACGTTTGACTTGGATGGCTCAGGATTTTCGAATGGCAGTGGCAGATTAGTGTTGCCAAGCCTTTTGTTTCAGCCTGTCCTTATTCCTACAGGATGTGGTGGGGTTAAAGGGGAGAATTACTGGCAAAGTCTGCGCTGGCCTGTTTCGTTCATGGCTCTAAACCCTACAGCCAGTGTCACCTCGGAGAAGTCGCTTCTCCTTTATGAACCTCGGTTCCCTATTAGAGAACCAGCCCTGACCGTACGGTTGAGGCAACCACATCTACCTGATGTGAGAAAAAAAGCCGTATTTAATAAATTTCTAGAAGCTCTGATGCTTCATGGATCTGTCAGACAGGGACTGACTGGTTAACCCAAGGCTTTGGAGACAGTGAACACAGGGGCTTTACCCACTGGGGGAAGGAGAAGCATGGGACTGGTGAGGAGAGTGAACTCTGCTCCCCTTGGACTGCAGAGAGGCAGTTCCAGCCCTTAGCCCAGCCTGTGCCACAGTAACAGGTACATCTCTAGGTCAGAGACCCGGGCGGGGAGGCTCAGCGAGTGTTGGTGACGGCGCTCTGGGTTGACAGGGAATGACCCATGAATTCCCGTGTGTCTGAGTGGGTCGGTGCCGTTGGGCTTACAGATAAATGCATCACAAGTGTGCGGAGCTCTTTCTTTCCCAGGCAATCTTATCTTCTAACCATCACCCAAGTGTTACTCTCTTCCTCCTGCTTTCAGGTCGATGATCCAAAAGCAGCACTCCAAGAGCTGGAAACCTGTCTGCGTTTTCCTTTGCAAGGGTTTGTTCCATATACCTGTTCAGTGAGACCAAGCATGGAAATCCCAAAACATCATCTGCAAAAGTACCTTGAAAATGTTCTTGGTGACCATGCAACAGGTATCGCAGTCTTTTGCTCTTCAGTCTGAAAGCTCACACATTCTGGAGCCATTGGCTCTTTCCATCATCCAACAGATAGATTGAAAAATAAGATTAACGAAAGGCTCCAAGCAAACAGTACAGCCATTCAGGCTGCAGTGATCTGTCACTGTTTGCCAGAAATGGGAAGCAACATTTTAGGACTTCGTCATTTGGGAGGGGTTGAGCACAAGTTGCCAAACAGATGCCAGGAATATCCCCGGCCTGTGAGCCATCCACGAGCTGTTGCCATGCTCCCCAGGGATTTGTGTAGGTTCCCGATTGCTGCAAGTGAGAGCTCAGACCCAGGTGCAGAAAGGGGAAGTAAAACCTGAAGAAGTGGTGAGAAATAATCCCAGCTCACGCCTCTGTCTGCTGACCCTCTGCTCTCAACTCTTTAGGCCCACTAGTGTTACGGCAGTTTGGCCACGGGCGGTCTACGCTCACCTATTTCGTCAAGTTTGGGGAACGCTTGCTAGTGCTGAAGAAGGAGCCCTCTGACAGCCTGTGTCCCTCAAGCCCTGCCGTCAGAAGGGAATACAGGTGAGAAGGCAGCTGTGCTCCTCATGCCGGCTGACCGGGGAAGACTCTTGTAGGAGATCCCAAAAACCCTGTCCTAGGGACAGTGCTCTATTCCAGCCTTGGCTTTTCTGTCCCACATCACACCCACAGTTTGCACACCTGCCTCCCACATCGTCCTCCCCTGCATTTTGCACAGCTCCCTATCCCGGACTGTGATCTGTCTGTTTACTCCAGCAGTCCTGGATTGAGAGACGAGGCTGTGCTACCGCCCTGCAGCTGGCCGTGAGCACGCAGCTAGGGACCCTGTGCCTGGGAAAAGCCCCCTCCCCACTCCTGCGCTGCCATCCTGCAGCTCTCCCAGCACACCTTGGGAGATGCAGGATCTCACCCATCGCATCTGGCACCTCAGGTGGGAGAGAGGTCGCAGCACAGCGCTGCAACTGAGCAGCGAGGAGCCCAGCGGAGGGCTAGCCCCATGCTGGAGCGGTGGTGCTGCAAACCGGTTTGCTGTGCCAGGGGTCTCTGCCGCAGCAGCAGAGCAGCAGGACGCTTGTGGGGGAGCAGTTGTGATCTCCCCTTGGTTTTCCAGAGTGTGTTGGACAGGTCTCAGGGCCGTGGGCCATGGGAAGGTTTTGGTTTGCTTCTTTCGCTTACCCCCAGCCACGTTATTTTGGTGTGTCTAAAACTGACCACAGGCCTCTCTCCAATATTGTGTGACTGCCTAGCCACAATGCCATTCTAGGATCGATTCCCTCATGCCTTTCTGTGCTGACACGGCTCTCTGACTCGCCCTGGCAGGGTACTGAAGGCACTCTCTGAGGCTGGTGTTCCTGTTCCTACTGTACTTGCTCTCTGCGAGGACAGAAGGTAATCTTGTCCCTCAGCTTTCACTCTGCGCTTGTCAACTTCAGCCAGATTCCTCCAAAGACAAAGAGAGGAGAGAAGGAGCCAGGCCTCACAAAGTGCACTGGTCTAATTAGTGTTCGCCCACTCTTGGGCTAGAGGGGCCTCTAGAAGTTCAAAGGACGGTAACGCTTTGATTTGGCTTGCTTTAGGTGTATCCTTATTTGAGCAATTAATCAAAATGCTGTCTTCCTTTAAAAAGCTGCTATAAAACAGTGTGGCAGGACCCGGTGTGCTCACTTTTCCAATAAAGAGGTGATTTTTCTAACTGCCAGGCCTCCGGCTTGCCCCGAGATCTACAGCTGTGATAGCAGGAAGCCTGAGGCTGAGACGCCGGCTCCGCTGCGCTCAGCTCTCTGCTGGCTGCAGGAATAAAGGCTCTGCACTGTGGCTAAACGTGTGTTCCACCGTTGGTGGTGTTCGCGTGCAGCCTGACAGCCCGGCTCCAGAGCCCACCGCAGGGGAGGCAGGGAGGTGGTTGGTGCTCTAGCCTGGCCCCAAGCTCAGCTTCCTGGGGCTGGAGGGACCGGGATTGATCCTGCCACAGCCGTGTGCCACCACCTTGGCAGCCCGAGTCGGGCTTGAGCCCAGGCCACCACTGGACGTGAGCGCTCAAGTGCTGTTGAGGCTGCTCCTCACTTTGCCGTGCAGGCGAGGCCTGGGGGCATGTTCAAGGGGCAGGTGAGATCTGAGGGGTGGTAGGTAGCAGGATTAACCTCAGACATGCCAATTCCACCTTGCTTCCCCAGCACCCTTGGCGCACCTTTCTACCTGATGGAGCACTGTGCTGGGTGCATCTACAGCGATGTCTCCCTCCCCACACGGCAGCCTAGCCAGCGGAGGGCTATTTATGCTGCCATGAGTCAAGTCCTCTCCAAGATCCACAGCGTAGACCTCAAAGCAGCCAAGCTGGAGGACCTCGGGGAGCATGGTGAGAGAAGGCTCTGTGTCCTCTACCACTGTTTTCTTCTCCTGTGTATCAGCATTCCAAAGGGTAGGCTGGGTTGGGGGATTTGGGACAAACTTGGGGGCAGTTGGGGAAGCAAAGGTGGGCAGCAGGGTGTCTGAAGCCCCAGGCGTGGTGGGAGGGTGTGGAGAGCTGCTTTAGATCCTCCAGGTCTGTGTTTCCTGTCCCCAGAGCTTCCTGCCAGGAGCAAGAGCTGCACTGTTGGTGCAGGAGACCTCTGGAAATCACAAACTCTTGGAGCTTATCTCAGGGTGCTGGGCTGAGATCTGCTTGGCCATTTGACGTTGTCTGCGCGCACCTTTCATGCATCTCTTTTTGTGCCCATCCCTTTCCCTGAGAGCCTTCGTTCCTCTGTTACAGGTAATTACATTCAGCGGCAAGTTGAGACCTGGACAAAGCAGTACCGAGCTGTGGAAACTCGTGTTATCCCAGCGATGGAGAGACTCATCCAGTGGCTGCCTCTGCATTTTCCAGAATCTCAGAAGACGACGGTTGTGCATGGTGATTTCAGGTACTGCTGGGCCGCCTGCACTGCCCCAGAGCACACCCCAGGCGGTAGAAAAGGAGACAGAGTGTGAGGCAATATGCAAACTCCAGAGAGGTGCTGAGTTGGGCTGGTGCAGCAGCTTCAGAGCAGTCTGAAAGCTGGGCTCTGGGTCGAGTTCAGCATCCCCCAGGTAACGAGAGGGCCACAAACCCTTCGCATCTGTCATGAGAAACTTATCCCAAGAGCTCTGGCTGGTGCTGTCTTGCATCCAGAGCTCTCGTATTTTCCCCAGTGTTTATCTGCCCACTGATCTGTGGCGGTTTAAAGCAGTGGCCACTCGAGAGCTGGGAAACTGGGGGCAGGAACTGAAAGCCTGGACTCTGATGTCCGATTCCAGTCTTGCTGCCTCACTGGTTTTTCAGCATTTCTTCACCCAACCACTGCAAACACTGGAGGATCTTCAGCTGTTTCTGCAATACTCAGAAATCAATCCTGGTGCATCTTCCTAATGGTATTTGGTGCTTAACGAGCTTGGGTGGCTGGTGAGATGCTGCAGGATGTATGGCTAAACCTGCTGGTGTTACTGGTGAAGTCACGCAGGAACATGGTGGCTGGGGGCAGAGGTGAGGGATGCTGAGAGCTACTTCGGTGTTGTCAGCCCCTGGCTGCCGGGGCTGTGAGGCTGCAGCATAGGTGTGTGCCAATTCTGGGCCAAGGCTCCTTCCCACAAGGTTTAGCGCACACCGTTCCAGTGTGACTGGAAGCTGGGGAGCTCTCTGCACCCTGGCAGGATGGCTGCCCTCTCTGTTTCCTCCTCAGCAGGCTGCTGCCCTCTCCTGGGGCTCAAACTGGGGAAGGCTGCACTACGCATAATCCGCAGCACATGGCGGTGCAGGGCCTGGAGTTCTTGAAATGACCAGAAGATCCCCCTGGCCGGTGACTTGCCTGCTTTGCTTTTTGGCTAGCCTGTCCTGTAACATCTGTTAATGGTCTGAGGCCCTGAATAACTTTGTTCCGTTCTTCAAAGCACAGTTCAGTTCATTAGCCAGGGAGTTCACTATTGAGTAATCTCAGTCCTCTCTGACCTATGCTTGCAGAAATTAATGTTTCACTTGTGCAGTCTCCCAAAGGACTCAGCAATTCTTGAAGAGAGTGAAGAGCACTGGAAAGCAGCTACTGCTGCTGAGCACTGGGATTTTTTCTCCACTCTTGAGACTTTTCTGAAAAAAACCCTCTGATACAGGATGAACAAGCTGGTCTTTCATCCAGACAGGCCAGAAATCCTCGCTGTGCTTGGCTGGAAGCTTTCAACTCTAGGAGATCCCATCTCTGATTTGGCGAATAACTGTATGCTCTACTTTCTGCCACCTCACTTCAGTGCACTGAGAGGTACAGAGAGAGGCAAAAAGTCACGTTTGACACATGGAGAGAGGAACCAGAGTTCAGAAACAGATTAGCTCCTGCCCAGAGAGCTCAGCTGGCAGTTGGGCTCGTTGCAGCTGGAAAGGCCTGTGGGCCTTGTACTGTATTCCCTGCCCTGCCTTTTCTCCCCTCCCTGAAGAACCCTGCATTCCTCCAGGGCAGAAACATCTTTCTGCATGTGCGGTAATCACTGTGCCATGGTCACCCCAGCCCCAGTTTGTCTCATATCTGCCACCTGTTTGGCAGACACTCTGCCATTGCGCTCCCTGTCCTGCTTGGTACTGTCACCCTGTTCACGCCCCTTTGTTAGCAGTCATGTCAGGGATGGCCCCAGAGAGGAGGGCTCTGCTTCACGGCTTGCAAAACTGCTTTTAAAATATAGTTTGGATTATTTTTCCTCTCACTTCAGCTGTAAAGCTGGGCAACTTTTTTTTGGGTGTGTAAGGGTTGGTCTGACAAACAGCATTGTCTCAGCCTTGTCATCAGGAATATGGACTCTGAAAGTTAGGCTAACATCTTGACATGAGTCTGCAGCGGCCTGCCTGAGAAGCAGTTGCTGATCCTGAGAATGGAATGCCAGGCCTGTGAGGTCATTATGCCCTGGAAAGAGCAAGGACGAGAGCTGAGCAACTTGTTCATCTGGCAGGAAACAGCAAAAAAGTTGCCTGAGTGGCCCATAACAGGGTGGAAAGCTCTGAACCAGGCCAGCCCAGAAGGGGGTTGTCCACAAAGTTATACACTTGTTAAAAAGAAAAATATAGGGTTAAACTGAGAGGAAAATTTAGGAGGAAGATCCATCAGTCACTGCTTTCACGGCCTTATGAAGGAAACTGCCCCGTATGCATTTCACCTATGTGGGTTGGTGCCAAGCCCCCACTGTTATGTATGGAAACAGCACGGCAGCAGTGCAGGTGTTGGGTGGGTGCAGGTGTCTCCGTGCTCCCCAGCTGCATGGCTCTGCCACAGGCTTCCTGGCATCCCTAGAAAACTCTGAGCTCCTCACAGCCTGTGGACTCACCGTTGCCTCTTCACATCTTCCAGGCTTGAGGCAGTGTGATTTGGGGCGCCTGGGAGTCCCCACGGCAGAGGAGTACATCCAGATGTACTGTGGCCACACGGGAGTGGAGAGCCCCGAGAACTGGAATTTCTACTTGGCCTTCGCCTTTTTCCGACTGGCTGCGATGCTGCAGGGGCTCTACAAACGCTCTCTGGCAGGTGAGGGACCCAACCACACCAGCTCTGTTCTGCACAGGTCTCCAGCCAGAGCACAGGCACACGAGCACTGGTGTGGGGACAGCTCTCACACTGAACTGGGGACATGGGAGCAGCAGCATGTGCTACAGGGTTCAGGCACTTCTGGCTGTGAATCCTGAGAGTTCCAGGTGCTACAGCAAAGTGTGGCATGTCTTGGCAGTCTTGTGCTTTTGGCCTGGAGCTTCTGTGGGAAATAAGGGATCAAAATGAGAGATCTTGTTTCACTCTGGAGATGAGTGACCTGGGAGTAATCGTGCAGTGAGTTATTGCTGCATGTAGACAAGAGGGATGGGAATAGAGTGTCCTGTAAAGCCCAGAGCTCCCTCCCTGCTCCAGCACAGGCTCTGGAGGGTGTGAGGCTGCTGCAGCCTCTCAGGCAGGCTGTGTTGTGCAGGCGGGCTGTGTCCTGCAAACAGAAACAAGGGCCACAGGGGAGCGCACCCAGGGCATTTCCCCAGCGGCTGCTTTTTGCTGGATGTAAGGTCTGGCCCGTTCCTGTTTGCTGTTTGGGCTGAGCCGAGGTTGCTGTGCGATCACTTTTCTTTCACGGGAGAAGTGAGCAGAGGCCAGAGTTCAGAGCTCAGAGCCGTGTCCTACAGGTGGAGCTCTCAGACCTTCAAACTAAGCACCCCCTTCAAAGAGAGGCTGGAAAGCAGGGAGGTGGCGCGAACTCTCAGTGCCGTTTACCTGCATAGGTCAGGTCTGGCCTGGGAGTCTTCATCAGAGAAAAACGAGACGTTATTTCCGTATTCCTTAGAGAGGATTCTCCTCGAGTCCTGCTGGGCTGGCCCAGACAAGGGCACGTGGTGCTGTTTGGGATGTGACTACGTAACATGGGCGCTTTCAAATGAAGGTGTCTTCTCTTGTCCCCAGGGAAGCCAGATCCAGGTGAAATCAGCCCGGAGGATGCAGAGTTTGTGGCCAACCTGGCTTGGGAGTTCGCCATAAAAGAAGGATTCCGTGTGTTTGACAGCCTCCCCACCACAAAGCCTCTTGCGGGACGTTACAGCACCTGGGCCGGGCGAGGGCCGTTCCTTAGCAGGAGCTATGCTACCTGGCCACATTCTGGAGCAGCTCCTGTGCCCAAAGTCTCCCTGGTCACTCCCCCCACCAGCCTGTTGGGCATGGCCCAGGGTCTTTACTGCAAGCTGGAAAAGATCATGGGCATCCAGTGGGGTTTTCTGATTTCCCAGCCCAAATGGACTCTGCGTCATGTTCTAGGACTGAAGGTGAGACATCTTCCTCCCTAAAGCTGCTCTGCTGCACCTGCACTGGGGTGGGGGATCGTGGCGAGCCTCTGAGTGCCCTTGCTTTCCTGATCACATCAGACATTTGGCATTCAGCGCTTGGAGAAAGGGGGGTGGGTTCCCATCGCTGGCTACATTTGAGCAACCGAGTTCATGTTCTGGGAAACAGCAATTTCAGAAGTTGGCACTCCCTTGCAAGATGAGCAGATTAACGCCAGCCCAGCTGTAATCGCTGGTGCCGCGCCACCGAGGTCCTGCCATCAATGCTGGTGGGGTTGCCAGAGCTTGGCTGGGCTTGGGCTTTTCAACACCTGCCAGTCCAGTGCTTTGTTCATTCCCTTCCCCTGTCGCGTGGAAGCTTCGCTGCTGCCTCTGTGTGGGAGAGGCTGAGTTAATTCTCTGTGTGAGAGTTCCTCCTGGTGCTTCCTTGGGAGGTCCCACAGGTAGGGCAGGCAGCTTCTCGTACCTCCACAGCTTCATTTCCTCCTCTGTGTTCTCTTGGCCTGCTCTCCCCGGCAGGGGCTGTCCCTGCAGACAGCCCCGTCAGCAAACAGTCACGTGCTCGGTGATAAGCCAAGTGTGATCGGCCGTGCAGGCTCTGGGATGCCCCTGGGACTTTGGCCCTGCCACCGTCCTGGGCTCTCCTGGGCAGAGCAGGTGCTGCTGGAGCCCTGAACCCTCAAAATGGAGAGACGCTGGTCATCCATGGTATGGTGGTGAGGAAGCAGAAACCAGCTACCAAAATGACTTGCCCATGGTCATGTGGGGTGTCAGTGGCAGAGATGAGAGTAGCATCAGCTCTCAAACTCTAGAGTTTTAATTGCGTGTCTCTTCCTTCTGCCAGTGCAAGGCAGGTCAGGTGAACACACAGGTATCAGGATAGCTGAACCCCCTGCCCAGGCTCTGCAAACTGTCTGGTTTCTCTGTGCTTCCACCTCCCAGTGCTGCTGGTGGCCACGGTGCGGCTCAGTGAGCTCATGGCTCTGGGCTGGCTGGTGTTGCAAACAGATTTGCCGGGAGTGGTGTCACAAGTAATCATCCAACAGAGTGTGTCATGAAAGCAGACATTCCTATCCTTGGGTTTCTACAGAGATTATATTCTTAATGTATTCTAGTGACATTATCAAATTCTAGTGGGTTACTAAACTGCCTTTTAGCTGCCAAAAAAAAAAAAAGAAATCCCATCTGTTGTTCAGCCCTTCAGAAACATTTCCTTGTGCTCTAGCAGAAACCAGCAAATCCCAGCTTTTCAGTGTGCAGCTGATCCACTGAGAAGGTGGAAAGGGAGGGGAAGCAGCAGCCCTGGGGAATCTGGAAGTGCTGAGATGAGCAGATCTCCTTGCCCTTCTTCAAAACACTCAGCTTCAGAGCTGGGAGAGGGTTGTCAAGTCTCCAAGCATCAGGACTGCCATGCTTTCTCTACTCCATGCCTTGGGCTTGTGGTGGAGACACTGCTCTTTATCTGGGGGACCACAGAGTCCCCTCATCCCTGCCATCTCCCCATCCATCTCACTGCTCTTTCACTTGGCATTGTCCCTGCACTGTCCACTGCTGGGGAAGTGTGTTGTGAAAGCCAGGGGAGGAGTCTCGCTGCCCGTGGCAGGGAGATAATGCAGTGGAGTGTGAAACAGCCAAATAGTCCTGGCCTGAGACCATCACAGCACTCATAAGCTGGGCAAGGGCCAAGGGAAAGGGCAAGCCTGCCTCTTGCCAGCTGGCACAGGAGGGGTAGAGGTTCGTCCCAGTGCGCTTGGCAGCGAGATGCCCTTCGCTGAGGCGCTTTTGGCTGAACAGGGCAGCAGCTCAGCTGATCCTGCCACGTCCTGCATGGGAACCAGCAGACATGGCACACTAGTCCCGAAGGTTGCCCATCCCTACAGATCTCTGGGGAAATCCTCTCCAGAGGAGCAGAGGAAAGCTCAGTTTCTCTTTCAGAGGGAGCATAAGCATGTCTGGCCAAAGCACTGGGTCCACAGCTGCACTCCCAGCGACGTGGCTAGCAAGGGGGCCAGCACCAGGCTAGGGGGATGTAGGAGGATGTAATGTCTCTCATCCTCTTCCATTGGGCAGAGGGTGCCAGGACCAAAGCAGGGGCTCTGATGGTGGCTGTACAGGCTACGGATCAGGGTAGCCAGGGGAGCAGACACGTGCGCTTCACATCTGACCCTTCTCTGTCCCAAATCAAGCAACACAGGGACGCATCCCTTTGGGGTCTCCTCCACACCAGGAACGAGTCATTGCAGTCTGGGGCCCTTGAGCACCAGGGGTGATTTGTCCTGTCTGTTGTGGGATCCCAGGTGAGGACATTTGCATTCCCCAGGGCATTTGGAAGGGGCTGGGGCATTTGCTGCCATTCTTCCCTGGTCCTGCAGCCCCTTACTTGCCCTCACTCTCACACAGGTCTCTGGATCAGAGCATCTCCGCAGTGCAGACCCCAGCTGAGTGCTTCACTCAGACCTGAGCTCCATCTCTAGCTGAAGAAACTCTCCAAACCGGAGCTGAGCCACTAGATACAGTGCTGGGGAGCCTCGGACATGGGATTAAACTGCTCTGGCATGGGAGAGGTCATGACAGCCTGGGAGCTTCTGAATTCCAGTAGTGTTTGCTGTTATCTCATATCTGGGCTCAGTGCCTTTATTGCCAGGCTCGTGGGGCAAAATCCATCCCTGGATCATGAGGCTGCCGGCAGTCAATACCAGCCTTGTGGGGAGGGAGTTGGCCAGGAATGACAGGGTGGGGGTGCAAGACTCGGTTTGGGGAATAAGGAGAATGGAGCAGGGTGTCTCTCCTCCTTCAGCACTACACCTTCAGCTACCTGCAGATGCTAGAAGGACTCCAGTCAGTGGTGGGGAGAACTGAATCCGGTCCTTGAAGACTCTGGCCTCAGGGGAGCCTCTGGAGCTGAGGCAATGCCTGGCCCCTGGAGCTGGGAGGACCTGGGAGGACTTCATGGTCCCATGGCTGCAGTGAATCTCTCAGGTTTTCTTTGGGGACCACAGAGAATGCAGATGGGATCAATGAGGCTTTCAGTGCTTCACAGAGGCCAGCAGCAGGGGGACAACAGTGGGAATAATTGTGGTAATTCCCGTGCTCTTTACGTGTAGTCTAGTAGTAATTCAATATTGAAGTGATTGGCACACTTTGAATTTTCTCTAGCTTCTCCAGTGCGGGCGCAGCCTCACAGCCCGCTTTCACAAAGCCACATCCATCTGCCCGGGGTTACCACCCCATCCCCGCTCTCAGGGGCACAAGGGGTGCTGCGGAGGAGCCCTGGGGTGGCCGTGCTGGCTGCTCAACACCAGGACCATAGGGCTGTAGGGAAGCCTCGTAACCTGAGCTTTGTTTTCTGCCAGGCTCCAGGGTGAAATTCTACCTCCAGCCCAGGAGCTTGGCTCTGCTGTGGAAGGGGGAGGGAGCCTGTATCTGAGCTTGTATCTGCCCAACCCAGACAGTCGGGATGATTTCCTAGCAGGCACCTGGCCGTTGCGCCTCCCACTATCTCATCTTTCAGGCAGGCTCAATCCCAGCCGGTTATTGCAGGGCTGAGGGTTTGAGGCTGAGAGCTGGCTCTGCTAGGAAGGTGTTTTCCTCCATCGCACGTGGTTTTAGTGCTGCTGGGTTTGTCTGCCAAGCCCCAGGGAAGGAAAGGGTCCTGCTCAAGAGGAGCAAAAGCATTAACACAGGGCTAATGCTCAGGGTCATCGGTTGTCCAGCCGGCTATCAGCAGAAGACACACACAGGACAGCGTGTGGGAGCTTAGCCCTGAGCAAAGCTTGGCTGGAGCTCAGCTCTGAGATGTGCCCTGTGGATGCACAGCCTGAGCCGGTCCCTCTGGGAGATGCAGTGCACGTAGGCACATCTCTATGGGTAAAACAGGTCTTTCTGGCATCTCCCAAAAGTTAACACGTGCAGGTCTGCAGTAGGAGGGAGAGCGTGTTGGAACAAGTGGTCCTCACGAGTGCCACTGCCTGAAGGGCTGCTCAAGACTGTCTGGGGCAACAAAAGGGAATCAGTCACCCTTCAGGGGATATGGGCAGCCAAGGATGACAGAGGATGAGATCCAGCACAAGAGGATTTCTTTTCAGCTGAGCTAGGAAACACGCAGCCTAATCCGAGTCCAGCTGGATAACCTCGGGCTGTTGTTTTGCCTCTCTGGGCCCTGTGGTTCCTCCCTGCACAACGAGGCTGATAGTCCCCTTCTGAGTGAAGTGCCTGGGGACCTCCAGATGCAGGAACTACCACCAAGACTTTCAATGACCTGGGTCTTCCAGGAGAGTGGGTTAAACTATTTTTGAATTGACACATCCTACAATTTTGCGGGCCCTTTTAATAAACCAGAGCCATCCACCCTGTTACCCTCCACAGACCCCTCACTAAAGGAGCTGAAGAGGTGACGTCAGATGAAGGGTAATTACCATAGGTTTATTTTGGAGATTATAACCCTTTGTATATTTGGTCTGTGGCTTCCTCAGCGATGGTGCTGATAACGCGAGCCCACCTCTGCTCCCCGCACGTGGATCTGCACCGAGGCACGCTGAAGTCGCACAGGGCATCTTAAGCAAACAAGCAGAAAGGCCTTGAGCCGTTGGTGGCAGCAATTTTACGAAGCCTCTCATCTGCATGCACCGAGTAATGTTCCTGTTGTGAGAATACTTCGCCGGCTTTGTTCCTCTTCCCCTGTACACCGTAGTTTCTTTCTTTGGTTCCTGTGCACACGGTACCGGTGGCATGTCCAGGTGACCGGGGGTCCCCAACCGTTTACCTCCTCACACCACCTTCCCTGGGAAAGTAACCAGTGCACCAGGGATGTTTCTGGTTTTCCTTTGCCTTTCTCCTTCTTGTTGCCTGAACAAAGTTCCTGAGCACGGACAGGGACACTCAGTGCCGGTACTGGCCACCGATGAGACATCCCTGGTGCACCAAACCAAGCCGTGCCAGTGTGATTTGAACCGAGCTGGGCTGAGCTGAGCCGAATGGAGCTG